CTGCATGACAAATGGCACCAAAATTTAGTGACTTAAAACAGCATTTGTTGTCTTAGTTCCTGTAGGATAGGAATCAGGTGTGACTTAGTTGGGTCCTGGCTCTGAATCCCTCAAAGGTCTCGGTTAAAGCGTCAGCCAGGGCTTTGGTGGTCTTTAGGTTCAACTTGAGGTGGATCTGCTTCCAAGCTCTCTATAATTGCTGTGGATAGGATTTAATTTCTCATACGCTGTTGATGAGGGGCTTGAGTTCTTGCCACAGGAGCCTCTCCACAGGAAAGCTTAGGACATGGCTCTAGGCTTCATCAGAATGATCAAGAGAGGGAGCAATAGAGAAAGTGTTAGCAAGATGGAAGTTGTGTCCTTTCATTACCTAATTTCAGAAATGACATCCCATCACTTTTGCAATATTATATTCATTAGAATCAAGTCTGGTTCATAGTGGGTGCTTTTTCACTGTGTCCTCACTTGTGGAAGTGGTGAGTAAGTTCTTGGGGGTCTTTTTTATAAAGGCACTAATCCCTTTCATGAGGGCTCCACCCTCATGACCTAAGTACCTTGCAAAGGCCTCTCTTCCTAAAACTATTACATGAGGCATTAGGATTTTAACATATGAATTTGGGGAGGATACAAATATTCAGACCACAGCACTACCAAATATTTAGAGGATCAACACCAAGTTTACACATACTTTTCCTAAAAATAAAAGAAGGACTACTTCCCAACTTATTTTTATAAAGTCATATGAAAATGTACGGTCATATATACATAAGCCTATATGTTTATATGTATGAATAAATACACTATATGCATTAGAAATCAGTATAAAGGAGAACATTAAATCACACAGAATCTAGATATAATCACCCTTAAAAGTTCAAAGTTTTTTTTTTACTGAAATTAAAATTGCTTTAAAAATTAGGTAGTTAATGCCTCACCTGAGCACAGCATCTGACTGCAGCATCGGGAGGGGGAGAGACCCGCCTGCCCACTGGCCACAGTGCCAGAGAGATATGAGCAATATGAAGAAGCAGAGAAACCACTCCCAATTAAAAGATCAAGAGAAATCTCCTGAAAGCACAATCAAG